TGCCGTCAGACATCGGCGTATGGAGGCTGTGCGTCTGAGAAAGGAAAACCAGATCTACAGTGCTGATGAGAAGAGAGCGCTTGCGTCCTTTAACCAGGAGGAAAGGAGGAAGAGGGAGAGCAAAATCCTCTCCAGCTTCAGGGAAATGGTTTACCGAAAAACCAAAGGCAAAGACGAGAAGTAGGCAGTCCTGTAGAAGTCAGTTTTCAGTCTGTTTGTCCTTGTTTTTCTTTTTTAAAAAGAAGACGATGCAAAAGTTGAATAAGACACAGATTTTACTTTAGAGTGTTTAAATGTATAATACACAGCGAGAGGCCTCAACTGATGTGTACATTTTAAAATCAGAAATAACAAACTGTGATTAGTAGAACTCAATTCAGAAATCACTGCAATACAATTCCTGTAATGCGTGTTTTGCGTTAAATAAATGGATGCGTCACGTGACCCACTGTAAATATGGGCCCTATGTAATTTTCCTGTGTCTGGTGTCATTTGCTTCTAATTCTTTTTTTTACTTGTACGGTACTTGCAATGGCTTGCACTGTACACTGTTCAAAAAAAAGCCATTAGTTGAAAAAGTAAGTAAACTCATTGCCTTCAAATTAAGTAACTGAACTGCGTGTATATTTCTAAAAAAAAAAAAAGTAAACTTAACAGCTTTAGGTTAAAACAGAAATACTTAAATTTTTTTAGGTAAACCGGACTTAGAATTTTTACAATGTGAAAAGTGATTACAAAAACCTGAGTAAACCCTTTGCCTTAAAAATGATGAGTTCCACATAATTTGGTTGCTGCTAGATAGGATTTGGTTGCGACCGGAAGTGAAGAGAATTATTTATATTATTTAATAAATTTCCCTTTTATTGTATTTTATTAACGTCTACCACTAACCCTAAATCTAACCTTCACAGTAACGTGAAAACAGTATTGTACCGAGTATTATTTAAGCTATCTATTAAATTACCCAATAAATTGTATTTTTTAATGTCTACCTCAACCCTAAACCCAACCGTGACAGTACTGTAAAAATATGAATTATTGTTATACAGTGTCATAAAAAAATGCTACTATATTTGATGTACATATCGCATCTCCAGCCGGCCGCGGATCCAATCTAGACTTTACCCACATAATTTATGTTGGGACGATTTAAAAAAATGAAGTTAACTTAATAGTTTTTAAAAAATGTACATGTACTGAACATAAAACAATTAAGTTGTCCCCCAAAAAACTCAAGAATTGTGTTGTTTCAGCTCATTTTAAATAAGTATTTTGAACAAGCAGCAAACGTAATTTTGCACTCAAACAAATGGCCGTTGCTGCTTGTTAAACTATTTATTTAAAATGAGCTGAAACAACACAATTCTTGTTTTTTTGTGACTTAATTGTTTAATGTTCAATCAACTTAAATTTAATTATGTTAACTTGAATGTTTAACAGAACGTTAACAGGATAACATGAAGGAATGGGGTATATGCACACAGAATTTTAATTTCAGCTCGGGTCTTTCCATTATAAAATTGGCACGTTTAAGATCTGATTTCTTTAAAAATCTGTGATCTTCACTGCTTGGCTAAGATATGATATGAAGTGGGTCTCAGACTGGACAAGAAGCACTGCATTAAATTCCATTTCCTCCGCCATCTCTTTAAAATATGACTGTTTCTGTGCTAGCCTGAATCCTCGTGGCAATAGTGGTTACACGGTCCGTCATCTTGATTTACACTTGAACAGCTAAATAAATAGTTAAGTCTATTTAACTGAATGTATTGTAATTACATTATAACATTGTTGCTGTAAAAGGAACTGTATGTAATTGAAAAGTCACAAACCTTTCATTTTTCATATTGTTTTCATATTGGCTGTAAAACACTAGCTGTGCCCATTGTGCAAAACCTAGCAAGTTTTACAGTGTACACACCCTCAAATTCACAGAAAAAATAAAGTGGATATAATGTTGTGGGCATATTGCATTCACCATGATGGAACTGTTATTTGAACTGCAAATGTCAGTTGTGTTGCTTCATTACCATTTAGTTTTGTTTTTTTTTCCCCAGTGGCCTCATAGGATAGTGACATGTCCATCATATGCACACTGTATCCTGCCAGAAATAATCTGTCATCTTTTAGCCTGACAATTATTAGAGTGAATTTGGGTGTGCTTCTTTCATTATTTTTTTATTATTATTATAAAGTAGAGAAGTATAGATTTTGAAGTTGACAATACTATCAAATCTGGCATGATCTGCCTTTTTTACAAACATTACATGATGTTTTTTCATATATATACGCACAACACGAATGTTCACAGCCTGGTTTCAAAATTTTGTAGACCATAAAAACAGATGACAAAAAAAGTGAAGCCAAAATTTTCCAGTTACATCGGCTGCCATCTTGCAGCAAAAACAATATTTGGAGTCTGAGTCTGCTCAGAAGTGATCAAAAGGTGACTTAAAGTTTCACTGACAGTTATCCTTTCATAATTTTATATGCATTATGTTTATGTCGTGTACAGCTCAAAAGCTCCCTGCTATGAGGGATGTGTGTCAGGGTTACATACTGCAAGTCAAGCTTTTAGTCATGTGAATCATTTTTAAGAGTTGAGCAAAATTGAGTATCATGTTATGATTTTGAAGAACTTTTACTACATTACTTTCCCAGGCCTGGCAATCACAATTCTGTGACAGTCAGAGTCGTGAAGAGAGCTCTAAGCATTCTGGTTTGAAAGTAATGTAAGTAATGTCCACATACTTCTTGATCGTCATCTCGGTTTTCTCCACTCCACTACAAAATAGATGTAAGAAGTGCTCATGGTTTTCTTAACTAAATAACAGCATTTCTTGACTGGATTACTGTGTATTACGTCTGCTGATGCTCCAGTGGAAGCTGTCAAAGGAGTCTATGCATCCTGTATAATAATATATAAATATCACAACCCATCTATGCACTTAAAGTATGCTTACTGTAGATTTGTTTCAATCAAATTTTAGGATTACTTTTGTACATTTTGTAGACAATTGATGTGTATACATTGCTGTGTTTGTAATCAAAGTCATTGTAAAACTTTTGAAAAGCTTTTAATGACTAATGCAAAAATTAAAGAGATTACAAGCTTAAATATTGTGATGTAATATAAGATTAAAGTACAACTTGGGTATGGATTTCTTTTTGATTTCAAGCACTAATGTTTAAAGATTCTTAAAGACATGCAAGAAGCAAAAATATGGACAAACTCTTGTTGTATGTCAAATTTGTCTAAAGCAAAGTTAGATTATTATTAGACAAATTAATTAGAAAAGGAATTCATCACAATTTTAATGGTAATTTTCATACAGCACTAGAGATTTTTATTTCTGTAATTTAAACTTAAATGTGCACAATTTCTCAAAGTCTTAATTTTGCAGCTGAAGTAAATACATCTTGACTTGTAGATATTTGTATAGGAAAATGAATCCTGATATCATTTTTCTTGCACTGACCATAACATTTAAAATGGCATTTTTTACAATGAGAACACTGATTAATGTAGAAGAGGAAATTATTTATTACAGAGTGTAAATGATAAACAGATTTTCCCCCTAACAAATCTCTATCAACTAAAACAGTGGTTCCCAAAGTGGGGGTCGCTTGGCGATTTCCAAAAATCAAATTCATTTTATTAAACTATTAAAATGACCATAATTTATCCATAAACTACTGAAAAACAAAGTAATAGTTCCTAGTAACACTGTTAACATGCTAATAATAAATATTAAAAAACAACATGCAAATGAACGGCTATCGGCCTTATGACTTTTGTTTGTGAGCCCTGGAGTGATTAGATTATATTAAAGAAGCAGCGCACTGATTTTATGACACCAGGTTAAACTTTCTAACACCTTTACTGCACTTATGTCCATTAAAAATAAATACAGGCCTCAACTGAACATGGAGGATGGTCATGAGTGCCGTTTCCAAAATTAAACAATGAACTTGAATAATAGACTTGGGCCTATTAGTATGTGTGCACTGTAGTGTAACTGTAGTTATATATTTATAACTACTTCAAAGAATATTGGGGGTTGCGAGTCATTAGCATTGTAATTTTGAGGGTCGAGGCTTAAAAAGTTTGGGAACTCCTGAACTAAAATGTCATGTAAATAAGGTACATAATCTAGTAATTCAGCCATTAACCATAAACTTGAAGCACAAACTTAAACAAATGTTGACATATTCAATCAGTGATGACAAGCGAGTGTAATCATAACAGTCCGATGTAGCTGTAAAATACTCCAAACATGACAACAGCAAGCAAATGAATAATTTAAGGACAACACTTTAATATATGACTGGACAAAATTTACATTTCAGCTTCATCCCTGTGGCATTTCACTTGATGTTTTCAAGTCCCTGTAAAAAGAACAAAAATAATAATTAAAGTGGACTGCTTTAATGCATACACACAATCAACAGTAATGCAGATTACCACAAGTTCATACCTTGGAGACGTAATGTTTATTGCATCCAGAAACTTTCTTGTCTCTCTCCATAAGGTACCACTGATAAGCCGCCCGTACAACCCGCTTTTCCTAAAGTTTAAAAGAGCAGTGCTAAATGCTGCAGTGGACATATACACAGATATACGTTTCAAATATAACCCTTTACTCCTAAAAAACATGTCTCAATAACCAGAGTCAATCTAAACATCTTGTTCATCATCGCTCACCTTCCCACCGTTTGTGAACTTTTGGATTTGAGCCGTCGCAATGCCAGGAATGTACAGACAAACTGTCATGATAGCCAAGCCTGGCAGTATCTCGTGCCACCACATGACTATGCTGAAATAAAAGCGTATAAACACAAAGAAACTGTTGCAGTAGTCTATTTAACGTAATATTCTTCAATCATAATAAAAATCTTCGTCTACCTTGGCCAAAATGTCTGCCCTTATGACGGTCACCAAAACAAACAACTTCCGAGGGTTGAATATTTCACTTCCGCATCGGGAACCTCGCAGTTCACTGTTGCTGCAGCGCCGCATTGTGGCTCTTCAGTGGGAGCCGTATGCAGTTGAAGTCAGAATTATTAGCCCCCCTTAGATTTATTTTTCTTTTTTAAATATTTTCCAAATGATGTTTAACAGAGGAAGGGAATTTTCACTGTATGTCTGATAATATTTTTTCTCCTGGAAAAAGTCTTATTAGTTTTATTTCGGCTAGAATAAAAGCAGTTTAAATTTTTTATGAATCATTTTAAGGTCAATATTATTAGCCCCTTTAAGCTATTTTTTTTTCGATAGTCTACAGAACAAACCATCGTTATACAATAACTTGCCTTATTACCCTAACCTGCTTAGTTAACCTAATTAACCTAGTTAAGCCTTTAAATGTCACTTTAAGCTGTATAGAAGTGTCTTGAAAAATATCTAGTCAACTATTATTTACTGTCATCATGGCAAAGATAAAATAAATCAGTTATTAGAAATGAGTTTGATAAAGCTATTGTGTTTAGAAATGTGTTGAAGAAATCTTGTCTTAGTTAAACAGAAATTAGGGAAAAAATAAACAGGGGGTCTAATAATTCTGACTTCAACTGTATATATTTCGTTTTATTTATTTATTTTTAATAAATGCTTGAACAGTAACAAACAGGCATTAATACTTTTTAAAATTACACAAAAGACTGAGATAATCAATTTACATAAATTCACAATCTTTCCATCTTCATTAATATTACAACACAAATCAATAAATAAAATAACAAAATTTACAAAAAAAAAAAAATGATAAAGAAAATTAAGTAGCAGGGGAGTTTAAGCTCAATTATGAAACCAAAATCCTCTAATGATGAATATAAATATCTTGCTTTTTGGCTTTTGATCTCTCTTAATGTGTTTAAATATATTACAAATTCTTCTTTAAACACACTAGTCTTGGGGAAATTAAATTTAAATTAAATTTACACAAAAATTTTTATCCTTAAGTTTTAGGCCAAACTTATTAATTTCCTAATAGAAGAAATGTCTTCTAGATATTTTCTGTTGTATCCAAACTAATACTTTATCCCAAAGTCTTTGTAGCTCATTACATTGAAAAAACAAGTGTTTAGTTATTTCAATATCTAAATGACAAAACTGGCAAACATTTGAGTCACCAATATTGAGTTTTTTTTATTTATTTATTTTTATTATTTTTTAGGGGTTTTCACCTTTATTGATAGGACAGTGGAGATATAGAGACAGATAAGTGTGGGGAGCAGACATAGGGGAAGGATCGGGGAAGGATCAGCAAAGGACCTCGAGACGGGAATCGAACACGAGTTGCTGCGAGCTATGTGTTATTCTATGTTTCGACGCACTAACCATTAGGCTATTGGCGCCGACACCAATGTTGAGTTTTAACTTTAGAAATTCTTTTGCAGGATAAATGTGATTCATAATTTTAGTGCACTTCTTTACATTTAGGATTAACAGGATATGAAAGAAAACTGTTTCTAATATTATACACATTTTTCTTATCATAATGAGACAAAATATAAGCTCTCTTAACAGGTCCTGGAAAACAACACTGTGTTAGAGTAGGAGCCATTAAAGCAAGCCGTTTATCCTTTTTTAATGGCATATGAACTTGTGAAAAGCTTTAATGAAATTATTTCTTATTTATTTTGGTCTTGTCAATATACAAAACATTTTTGGATTAATGTTGAAACTCTTATTTCTCATAATATTTAAAAAACATTTTCCTAATCTCATAAATATGTGATTTTGGGTTATTATGTTAAGGATCGCTCTTTAAAAGATGCTGGTTTTATCATACTATTAATTTTGTTATTATGTAAATTTCACATACACAAATGTAACTTTGCCAAAAGCAAACCTTGCATCATGGTGATGAAAAAAGAGATTGAAATATATATATATATATATATATATATATATATATATATATATATATATATATATATATATATATATATATATATATTAAAATGATTTGTGTCTATAAACAGTTAATTTATGCTCCCCCCCCCTTAACCCTTTTCATTAAAATTTGTATACATGTATTTTCTGTATTAAAAGTGCACCATTAACCTCTGTTAACAATTAAAATGGAAAAATATGTATATTATATTTGTATGTAATCTGATAAATATGTACCCTGTCTTGTCTTTCTTTTACTTTCTTTATGTACGTTCCTTATTTGATCCTTCCTGTTAAGGACTGTGTAGTGATTTTGTAGTATAATTATACTTTATATGCTGGTTCTTGTTAATAAAGCAAAAAAAAAAAAAAAAAAAAACCTGCATATTAACGCATATTACAACGAGAACAACAAATCACACCCTATGCCAACAGTACATATTATACAAGTAGAGAAAAAAATACACAAAACAGCCAGAGGAATAAAATTGAATCAAAAATAAGCAAATAAATATTATGATGGTAGTTTACTTGTCAATCTTAAATTTACAGATAATATTAGAGGTCTTGAGCGCTTTTTTGATTTACATTTATGTATCATATTGCAGTACTGTTTGAATTTGTAAATGAAATGACGTTCAACCTTCTATAGGAGCTGCTCAAACAGCTGCACTGCACATTAATAACTGTCTGGCTTAGCTCATCTACCAAATCTGACCTCTGAAGACTACGACAAAGAGTTCGGACTGCTGAGCGAATCACTAATACAACCCTCCCTACTCTCCAAGAACTGTACTTATCCAGAGCGAGAGAGCTGCCAAAATTACTCTGGACCCCTCACACCCAGCACACTGCCTCTTTGAGCTTTTACCTTCTGGTCGACGCTACAGAGCACTGTGCACCATAAAAGCTAAACACAGAAACAGTTTCTTCCCTCAATACATCTCATGAACACTTTATGAAAGTAACTGTGAAACAAACATCACTACATTTTATACACTTTTAATTTCTTTAACAACATACTTTACATGCCAACTTGCTTATAACACCTGCACATATAATGTTGTATATATAAACCTGCACATACACTTGTCAGTTTGTATATTTGCATTCACTACTTACTCCTTTTCTTAAAATATATTTATTATCTAGTTTTTTTTGTCCTGTTTCTGTAATTCTGTAGCACAGCGGAATGAACCGCCAACTTATCCAGCTTATATTTTAAGCAGTGGATGCCCTTCCAGCTGCAACCCATCACTGGGAAACACCCATACACTCTTGCATTTATACACTACAGACAATTTAGCATTTCACCTGTACGCAGTGGGTGGCGCTGTCACTTCACAGCAAGAATGTTCTCCCCGTTTTTGCGTGGGTTTCCTCCAGGTGCTCCGATTTCCCCCACAAGTCCAATGACATGTGCTGTAGGTGAATTGGGTAGGCTAAATTTTCCGTAGTGAATGGGAATGTATGGGTGTTTCGCAGTGATGCATTGTGGCTGGAAGGGCATCTGCTGCATATGCTGAATAAATTGGCGGTTCATCCCGCTGTGGCGACCTCAGATTAATAAAGGGACTAAGCTGAAAAGAAAGTAAATGAATGAATGAACTTATTTAATCTTCTATTTTTGGCTCAACATTTTATGCACAAGTGTAAATTTTGTAAGCGTAAACCTTTATTTCAGATTTGTCTTGAAGATCTAAATCTTTATATGTATTTGATTTCTGAATCTTCTAATAAAAAATCTGCATTTCTGTCTTCCCTGGCATGTAATGTTTATTTTCATTCATTCATTTTCTTTCTGCTTCGTCCTTTTTTTTATCAGTGGTCGCCACAGCAGTATGAACCGCCAACTTATCCAGCATATGTTTTATGCAGATGCCCTTACAGCTGCAACCCAGTACTGGGAAACATTCATACACACACACTCATACATTATGGCCAATTTAGTTTATTTAATTCACCTATATCACATGTCATATACAGAACATACTAACTCTACACAGACCCAGCCGGGACTCAAACCAGCGACCTTCTTGCTGTGAAGCCACAGTGCTAACCATTGAGCCAGTGTGTCCCCGTTTCATTTTATTATAATTAAAAAAAACTCCTAAGTGTAGAGTAGTGTGTCCCCAGGATCAGGATTGAAAAACCCAGCAATAGTTAATAGTTCTTATTAGATTATTAGGCATATGGTACATATTCTTTTCGTATTAGAACCTGTTAAACAGATACAAATAATTATTTATTACAAAGAATTTTTTTATTGATTATTATTTTTTTTATGAACTGCTAGTACTTATTTTTAATACTGATAGGGTATGTAATATAAGATACTAGTAATCACCAAAAGTACTAGTACTTCAATTTAAAACTACTACTAAAATGATTAGTAATTAATGAATAATGCTATATATATATATATATATGTTCCAGTCAGAACTGGAATTGAAACACTAGTCAAATCTGATTAGTTGATCACAAAGACAGATCCTCATGGAAATCAGCGGCAAAAATCTTAAATTTGTAACTAGAAACAACAGAGCAGTTACTATTTTACTGGTACTAGAAACAGATTTAAATTAAATTCTATTTTATTCTATTGTTACTAGTAACAAACCTAAAGTTTTGCTACTCATTTCCACTGGGTCTTTTTGATCAACTAAGTAGTATTTATTGTAGCAAGTACTAATGATTACTTAGTACTTATGATAATAAGCATGCTCTTACATTAACTGTTTAATAAGCGTGTTAATAAAATTTCTGCAATACATATTGCCATTTAATCAGAAAAATTTAAATCCATAATTTTCAAAAAGCTCATTTAAGCTGGGCACTGTCTGTTTAGAGCCAAAAATTTTTTTGTAATCAACTAAAGCAACATGTCATGATCCCTGCAGTAAATATTCAAAAACAGCCATTAACAACCTTACAAAAATCCACTACATACTTGTACTATATGGGGGTTTGATCTTCTCTCTTTCACATCACATTCACCATGTCCATTTCTTCTGTTTCCTATAAACCAAGAACAGCCATGTTTAATATTATTAAAATAACTTAAAGACACTCAGACATGTGCACAGAAAGACCCTAATCAGT